TCCTTTTGGGGGGATTTCGGGGGGTTTTGGGGGTCTTTATGGGGGGCGAGGGGGGATTACTTGGGGGGCTGTTGGGGGATTATGGGGGTCCTTTTGGGGGGGATATGGGGGAACTGGGGGGCGTGGCTCAAAGGAGGGGGCGTGACCCCTAGGTGGGCGTGGCCCTAAAGAAGGGGGTGTGGCACCGAAAATGGGGGGGGTGGCCCCACAGAAGGAGGCGCCGCCCCAAAGAACTGGGTGTGGAAAAGGGGGCGTGTCCCCAAAGAAGGGGCGTGTCCTAAAAAGGGGTGTGTCCTCAAAAAAGGGGTGTGTCCTCAAAAAAGGGGTGTGTCCCCAAAGGAAGGGGTGTGTCATAAGAGGGGGCGTGTCCTTAAAGGAGAGGGCGTGTCCTTAAAGGAGAGGGCGTGTCCTCAAAGGAGGGGCGTGTAATTAAAGAAGGGGCGTGTCCTCAAAGGAGGGGGCGTGTCCCCAAAAAAGGGGTGTGTCCCCAAAGGAGGGGGCGTGTCCTCTAAGGAGGGGGCGTGTCCCCAAAGGTGGGGGAGTGTCCCTGAAGGAGGGGGTGTGTCCCCAGAGGGGGTGTGTCCTCAAAGGAGGGGGTGTGTCCCCAGAGGGGGCATGTCCTTAAAGGAGCGGCGTGTCCTCGAAGTAGGGGCGTGTCCTCAATGAAGGGGCGTGTCCCCAAAGAGGGGGCGTGTCCTAAAGAGGGGGCGTGTCCCTACAGGAGGGGGCGTGTCCCTAAATAAAGGGGCGTGTCTGCAAAGAAGGGGTGTGTCCCCAAATGAAGGGGGCGTGCCCCCAAAGGAGGGGGCGTGTCCTTAAAGGGGTGTGTGTCCTTAAAGGAGGGGCGTGTCCTCGAAGTAGGGGGCGTGTCCGCTAAAAGGGGGTGTGTCCTTAAAGGAGGGGGCGTGTCCTCAATGAAGGGGGAGTGTCCCCAAAGGAGGGGGCGGGTTATCAAAGAGGGGGTGTGTCCTCAATGAAGGGGCGTGTCCTAAAGAGGGGGCGTGTCCCCATAGGAGGGGGCGTGTCCCTAAATAAAGGGGTGTGTCCCCAAATGAAGGGGGCGTGTCCCCATAGGAGGGGGCGTGTCCCCATAGGAGGGGGCGTGTCCCCATAGGAGGGGGCGTGTCCCCATAGGAGGGGGCGTGTCCCCATAGGAGGGGGCGTGTCCCCATAGGAGGGGGCGTGTCCCCAAAGAGGGGGCGTGTCCCCATAGGAGGGGGCATGTCCCTAAATAAAGGGGTGTGTCCCCAAATGAAGGGGGCGTGTCCCCAAATGAAGGGGGAGTGTTCTCAAAGAGGGGGCGTGTTCTCAAAGGAGGGGGTGTGTCCTTAAAGGAGGGGCGTGTCCTCGAAGTAGGGGGCGTGTTCCCTAAAAGGGGGTGTGTCCCAAAAAAAGGGGGCATGTCCTCAATGAAGGGGGAGTGTCCCCAAAGTAGGGGGCGTGTTCCCAGAGGAGGGGGCGTGTCCTAAAAGGGGGGCGTGTCCCCACAGGAGGGGGCGTGGCCAACTCCTCCCGCCTGCAGGAGACACCTCCGGGCCGCCAGGGGGCGCTGTCATCACGTGAGGGGGGCGTGTCCACCAAAGGGCCACGCCCACCCCTCCTTGCACACTCAGCCCCGCCCCTCCCCCAGCCCTTGCACGCTCACTTTGCACACTCGGGGGGCGGGGCTTGAGAGGGGGAGAGGGGCGGGGCTTTCTTGGTGTTTAATATTCGCAAAGAAAACTCCAGAACCGCCAGCGCTCTCGTTCATTCGTTCATTAATTACTGAATTAATTACCCCGTAATTACACCCGAGCCGCTGCGCGGGGGGAGGGGGAGGGGCAAGGAGGAGGTGGGGGAGGGGCAGCTCGGCAGCGTTTTGGGGAGGGGTTTAAGGTTTTTATTTTTGTGTTTTTTTTTTTCTTTCTCTAT